GCATGTTGACTTTTGCCCAACAATTTATGTTCTTCTACGTGTCTGACAATTTTATTCTTTACTATTGTTTCAACTAATTTGCCAGTACTAACGTTGGACTTACCAGTCTGTAATTGCCAGGATCACCTCTAGAGCCCTTTTTAAATATTGGCGTTACATTAGCTATCTTCCAGTCATTGGGTACAGAAGCCGATTTAAAGGACAGATTACAAACCATAGTTAATAGTTCTGCAACATCACATTTGAGTTCTTTCAGAACTCTTGGGTGAGTGCCATCTGGTCCCGGTGACTTCTATAGACTTTTAAATAGTTAATGAGACAGTTTCTATTAACAGGTGTGGAAAAAATATCAGGATGCTAGAGTCTTTATTCAGTATCCCTTTTATTTAATAAAAAGGACTATTCCAAATAAGACGACCTAAATAACACAGATATCTTCAATTATAGTTGCTTCATTTATGGAAAAGATTTCTTCTTACAGCTAAATAAAACTCAAAGCAGCTTGTGGTCACAAAAAAGGATGTAAATAACATTTTAAATCTTTAAATCTAATAAGCTAAATGACAAAGTGATTATAAATACCCCCTCTCAGCAGCAGTGTGAGACATTTCCTGAATATAAAAAAAGTTTATTTTAAGATCTACAAATACAGTTTTCGACAACTAACATATAAAAATAATGTGGGCACTAAACCACTGGAGAACTTCTCAGGAGTACACTTTTGATCTTACTGCTTACTTCTTATAAGAAAGTGCTAGAGGATTGCAAGGAAACAAACGTGATTTCTTATTCTCGCATTGAGAGAATTTTTAGCAAAATCAGTAGTGAGTATTCTGAGCATCTTTGGAACCACATGTAAATTCACATTACTTTTAATTTTCTCTTAGGGGAGACACACTAGATAGCAAGCTTGTGGTAAGAATACACATTGTGGAGCCAGTAACAAAAGTTGGCTTTTTTCTGTAGTATCACTTAAAAAAAAAAATCTGTAAATGGAGAGAAAATTTGAAGAAAGGTCACATGAAAGCCAAAACTAAAGCTGGGTTAAAAAAGGAATGAGATAAGTACATGGAGGATGGTCAGGGATACAACCCCATGCTCTGAGTGTCCTTACTCTGATTGCCAGAAGCTGGGACTGGCTGACAGGGGATGATGGGTCACTCGATAACTGCCCTGTTCTGCTTATTCCCTTTGAAGCACCTGGCTAGATGGACCATTGGTCTGACCCAGGATGGATGTTTTTATGAAGAATCTACAACATTCCACCTAGTGTGTGGCATCTTTAAATTTGTGTTTAAAGAGTAATATGCACTCCATGATGGGAGCTTGTAAGTAGGGATCTGAAGAGGCTCTCTTGCTGTCCACAGTTAAAGCCACAACTCACAATCCAAACCATGCCCCGCTCTGATGGTGACTACGTTCTTTAAGGGGAAACATTTAGCACTATGGAGAGGCTGAATAAGGAACCAGCTGCATGTTCAGAAGAGCAAGTAATTTTGCTGCTGCCAACTGCCTTGCTTGCTTTGGAAGCCATTTTCAAGGGCAAGAGCAATGATCCACCTCCGGTCTTTCTGCTTTACTCAAATGCAGTGGATTCCTGCTACAAGTCCAGCTCAACAGAGGAGAGAAGTTGTAGTGAAAGTAACAGCAGTTACCTGAGAGGGGTCTATTTTCACTACAGAAATTTCAGTACAAATGTAGGACATTTATCTCCTAACTTTTCCATGATTTTCTTCCAATGTCTGTTAATGCGTAAACCATAGTCATCAGCCAGCATCATTTATACTGTAAAAGGAAGATAAACAATTAAATGAAAATAGTTCTATACTTCAGTCTAACACACATCTTTCTTTAGACTTCAAAGTATTCATTTAGGCTAAACTTTTCATTGGTTGGATTTTCAGTATTGTCAGGAACAAATACTAGTTCTTGTATTATGTGTAACTGCACAGAACAGAAACATTTTAACTCATTTCAGGTTAAAGCAGAGGTTATGGCATTTTTTTTCTTAGTAGCAAAACCTTAGAAAAAGCAGGAGAAAACATGCATTGTGGATGTCACAGGCTAGGGTTAATTTGTCAGCAGAGGTAGTAACTGCAAGGGACAAACAACAAAAAAGTGACTGATAACAAGTGTTGATAATTACACAAGCTAACTAACGGAGAACTGGGCTATCCGTGAATCTGCTCTTCTCCCCACCATAAAACAAAGCTGAGCTGGAACATTCCTCTAGAAGTTCCGCTCTGCACCAGGAATGGCACCTACGTAGATTTACATAAACAACGTTTTTAAAGCAGGATATTAGTTTCTTCAGTGTCTAGTCACATCGAATATTCTTATTTAACATGGACCATGTGAATGCTGTGTAAAATACTGCATAGTCCTTATGAAGTGCACGTGAGCTTCTTTATGATATATCCTAAACACAATTAAGCTCTTCATGATATATACTAAACGCAATTAGCAATTACTTTAGTTCACATATCTGTTTTAAAGCACTGTGTACTGTAACTACACACTCAGAGCGCCATATCATCCATTTGAGGAACTAGCACATGCAATGCTGCCTCCTTATAGATGAAATCTTGTATTTGCTTATAATCTTTCTGGTTTTATATATTTATTTTTCACCCAAAGAACAACATATGATTTTCTCCTTCATTCTTAATAGGGGACTATGGAAGGCTACTGGGAGCACATCAATCCTGTCCTCTGCTCTCCACACTGGCTCAAAGCAGCAGAAGCTTGACTTGAAAAGGTGGGGGGCTGAGGTTTGGGTGTGTGTGGGGAGGTGCATCAAGGAGTCCAAGGCTCAGAGGGTACGTCTACACAGGGATACAGGGCTTCTAGCATGGCTGTGGCTGGCCCACGTCAGCTGACTCAGGCTTGGGGGGCTCAGGCTGCAACCTGAGCTCTAGGACATTCCCCCTTCACAGGGCCCCAGCCCAAGCCCAAACATTGACACAGCAATTTTTCAGCTCCAGAGCCCGAGCCCTGGAAGCCCCACTCAGCTGACTCAGGCCAGTCAAAGTTTTTTATTCCTGTCTAGACATTCCCAAAGAGAGCCTGGGCAGCAGGGCAGGCACTCACCTTGGCATGGCAGGCTAAGGAAATGGTCAGGTCAGTGTCCCTGGTCCTGCTTCCCTACTCTGGGCACCCTGAGCAACCGCTCACCAAATTCCCAGTCTCCTGCTCTGGAGAGGAAATGCCGGCCCCCCCTCACAATGATGTGGCTTTGCCCAGCCCAGTTCCATTCCCTGCCTCCAGATACGTCCTCTGCCCAGTGCCCAGGGGGCGGGGACACAGGAAGAGCAAAGCCCGGGCTTCCCTATTTCACACTCTCCACAGGCACTGAGGAAATATTGCTCAGGGGGGAGGGGAGAATATAGATCAGCCCCCGCAATATTTCCACTGCAGAGGCATTAGCCCCCACTGGCCCTCCAGTTCCGCTACCCCAGTACTGCTTTCCCATAGAATACTGGATCACATTCAAGGTTTCTGTCCTTATTTTCAAGGCACTCCGTGGCCTGATATCTACAGCACTGCCTAAGGCCCCAGGACAAAAATCATGTTTTACAACTATGCTCCTCTACAATAAATATCAAGCTCCTCTGCATGGGAGACGTAACTTTCTCTGGGGCCGGGCTGAGACTGTGCAATGAACTTCCCCAGAAACGACACAAACCTTATCACCTTCCACTCCAAGTGAAAGACGCATTTCTTTGAGCTGTCATCTCTAACAGATACATAACAAAATGTACCTTAAAAAGCCATCACATATGCTCCCCGCCCTCCAGAGAAAACCTACCGACAAAAGACAGTCCACTGGACTCGTTTCTCCCCTAGGGGAGAGGATGAGAGAATAACCACCACATGACAGATGTTAGTCACGATGCTTAACACGCTAGCGGAAGGTGCTCAGATATGATGTTGATAAGCATGGTATAAGAACCTATATCATAGCAGAAGTAATGAAATGGAAATAACATTTATATTAGACAAATACCTGTTTCCAACATACTGCATTTAACAGACAAAGCACACAAAGTCTTCAAGTTTGTTGTGGTTGCAGAAAAACATAGGCATGCAATGTTTTAGTAGATAATCAAATAATATTACATGAAATATTTTTGCATGCAGTGTAGTTGTAGCTATCTCAGGCCCAGGATATTGGAGAGACAAGGTTGGTGAGGTAATATCTTTTATTGGACCCAGGGCCGGCTCTAGGCACCAGCGTTCCAAGCATGTGCTTTTCAAGGGCGGCATTCTGGCTCCTTGGGGGACGGCACTTTTCAAGGGGCGGCACGTGGCACGCCGCCTTTTTTTTTTTTTTGCTTGGTGTGGCAAAAAACCTGGATCTAGCCCTGACTGGACCAACTACTGTTGGTGAGAGAGACAAGCTTTCAAGCCACACACAGCTCACCCACCTTTTCTCTCTCTCCAATGAAATGTTTTTGTTCATGACATGGAAGAAAAACGAAGAAATAACCCATAGAAGTAATTTATATTCTCAATTTGTATTTAATATCGTAAACTTCTAGCCTACTCTCCCAGATGACATTTAATCAGAAGACCACCACACCACCTGCATGCTTTTGGGTACAGGAAAATAATTTTCTATAAAAATAGATACCTTTGAAGATCAAATTACATTTTGATTCATTCATATCGAAATAATGTTCTGTGGTAATTTGATGCTGTGGGGAATCCGGATTTACACTGTAACAACTGAATAGCAAGAAAGGAGAGAACATTTGCTGAATAAAATATGTTCACATAACAAACAACTTGAATTTAAAGTAGTTTTTTTTTTAAAGATGGAGCCTTTTTATAAAACTAGAACTGTTTAAAGAAAAAATTGGAGGCTGAATATTAGGAAAATATTTTGATTGTAAGATGTATTAACCAGTGGAATTCTCTACCAAGCGCAGTGGTAGAAGCATTACCGTTCTGGAATTTTACAGCTAGCAAGGACAAGATACTTAAACATTGTTTCCTTCTGTAAAATGCTTCTCAAAATAAAACAAACCATATTTGCATTATACTTTTCAAGAACGTAAAAAATTCTCACAGGGATTACGTTTTAACAATACAGAAAAACAATATTCAGCATCAGGCATTTAATTTTTAGGTGTATATACCCTGTCACCAAGAGGGGTAAGTGTTGTACAAGTAAATTTCACAAAACAAGCAATATTTTTGCCATGGGAACGAGGTCTCTTAGTCAGAATGTTATTCCCACACAGAGTCACTTCTGTATAGTATAATTTATCTTGCAGACTCAACAGCTCAATAAAAGCAAGAACAGATTAGTATTTAATTTGCTTTTTTTGTCTGATGAGCATATATTTTGCTACCTATATTTTGCCAGCAATATACAAACAAGACTGCAGTAACCACATTTAGGTTGGTTCTCTTTCAATATTGTTCACAGTGAAATTCTAGCACCCACTAGATTTCATAGCATGGAGAAATTGAACATGACAACACGACGCATGAGAGTCAACAACATTGGATTACTTCTACTACAGTAAAAGCCCATTTCTGCTGGGTAAGTATCTTCGCTTATGAACTGCCAACACTGGATATTTTATTCAAATGACATTGCAAACTGGGCTTCTGAATATAAAGCTTATCTTAAACAAGCTACCTGCTTGATGATCATGACAAAACGGAACAGGATTGCATGATTATAAACTTCACTTCAGTGGGATAAAGTCCAATAGTCCACACTATTAAATAAGGCTCCTTAAAAACACTCACTAGAATGAAACATTTAGTGAGAAATGAGAAGGAAAGTTGGAAATTCTAGAAGTCAGAATGGATTTCTGAAGAATTTCGTTCTACATATTTAGGAGGGCTTTGTATAAATGATTGTTTGTAGGTTGCTGCAGTCTATTAGCTTAGTCAGGGCTTGGACATCACTGGCTTTCCTTGTATGGATTCCAGGGAGTGTCATACTAGAAATCTCATTCACCATATAAACAATACTGGGCAGGTGCTTTTATAAATTCAGTTGTAAACCATGTTTATGTGGGAAGGCAAATATGCAAATCTTTTCACAACAGTTGAGTAACCAAGTTAATCAGTAAAAGGCAGACTTCACACAATCCAACATGTCATTAGCAAAATTAATCTTTAATTAAAATAAAAATTAGATTAAAAATAGACTAGATATTCGGTGTAAGTCAAAGGCATCTCAGTATAAATGAATCCCAGGGGAATATTATTCAAGTGACTATGTTATAAAGCAAAGCAACTATTTAAAAAGCCTTTACACAATATTATCTGGCAGTGATACAAAGAAAGCCTGTACTGTGAGAACACAACTTCCTGAGCAGTTCTACACAAATCCCACTTTGGGTTTTTAATTTGCCGTTTTTATGTTTTAGAGGTTTGAAGATTGAGAGGCTCCTTTTGAGAAACATTCCTGAAGGTGCACACTTTGGGCCTTAGCCATAGCCACTCCACGTGCAGAATTCCTGCTGAAATAAACTAGAGTGCGGCTACAGGGCTGTGTCCCAGTGCGGTGCAACTTAAGGAGCAGACAGGGAAGGGTTAAAGGAAGCAAAATTTTGAAGGAGTTTTGGACCAAACCACAGCAACAAAGAATTTCTAAATCTATCAGAGATATTTGTATTTTCATGGTACCTGGAGCAGCCCAACACACATCCATGGCTCTGTCTTGTTTTCGTGACATGCAGTCTTATTTATATAATCTTTTCCTTCTTGTGCATTTAAGACTTAAGCATTGATGAAGCACAATGGTCATGTGTTGGATCACAGCATCAGCTAGTCCAACAATTTTCAAACTATGGTCCATGGAGCATTTTGCAGGCAGTCCATGGAGAGCTAACCGTTACATGATGCCGACTCTCATTCTAGTTTCAAACTGTTAAATCACAGTGAAAGACAGCTCTGGGACTCCAAGAGAGGGCAGGATCCCAGAGCTTGGGCTCCAGTCTGAGCCTGAACGTCTACACAGCAATTTTCAGTCCTGCAGCCCTAGCCCTGCGAGCCCATATCAGCTGAGCTGGGCCAGTCGCGGCTGTGTTGTGGTTCTTTTATTCCAGACCAATTAAATATCATTCCTTCAATGCTGCATTTTCAGAGCACCATATATGTAACTTTTCCTGACATCCAGGTACATGCAAGAAAAGACAACCCCTGCTGAAAAGGTAGAGTAAAACTCAGAAGGAAATACCTGTTCATGCAGTAAGGAAATGCCATGAGGATAAGTTGAAAATTAGTAAAGAATAAAAATAATTTTTCTGCTAGCTTACCCTTTTTTCTTTTGCCATTTTTTATTCAAAACTGCAAGTGTTCCTTGAAGAAAAACAAAACCAGCGATAAGGCAGGAAGTTATATTTTATTTA